TTTCCCTCCCCTCCTCTGTATCCTACTGCACAGAGAGAAACACTCATTGCAGCTGAGGCTCTCTAATCCACAAAAGCTTGTGCAGGAAGGAAAAATGTGTCAGTCTTTAAGGTATCACAAGGGCCCTATCTTTCACACTAGGAAAATTGTACACAATATTAAAGCTGCATCGATCCATCCAATCCCTCCCACACAGCTTGTTCCAAATAGGGTTCTCTGAGAAAGAACCATAGATCTGTGGATATTTCAACCATAGTTAGAAAAAAATTACCTCAGCAAATACAAAATGGCTTTAACAAATTAAATGGCATTGGGGGAGTGAAGGGAAGAAATCCCTTCCAGTTTACAAAAACTGCTTTGCCTGGATGTCTGGAAATAGTTACTGACAACTAGGTGAGTAACTAGGGCTTTTTTTGTAGAAAAAGCACAGCAGGAACTCATTAGCATAACAGGCCACACCCAAGAGCAGAAACTCATTAGCATATTAGGCCACACCCCTGACAGAGCAGCTCATTAGCATATTAAGCCACACCCCCACATTACCAGAAGTGTGGTCATCCAGCCACACTCACCTTTTGCTTCTTATTCTGTTTACCTTGTTTGTTGTCAAAACCCAGGGCTTTTTCTTGTAGCGGGAACCCTGTGCATGTCAGGCCGCACACTCCTAATGTAGCCAGTCCTAATGAGTTTCTGCTGTTGGGTGTGGCCTATTATGCTAATGAGTTCCTGCTAGGCATGGCCAACTCGGGAGCCAGTCGGAACTCCATTCCTGTGCGTTCCTGCCCAAAAATAGCCCTGTGAGTAACTCTTTACAGGTCTGCATAAATAAAAAACATGGTGTGGCCCTGAGATCTCACCCTACCAATGTGCTATCAAAGGGGGAGCCCTTAACTAGTGGGCATATCTGCACTAGGGATGTGCATTCAGCTCAGCCAAACTGAATAATAGCCCAAATACTGCCTATACAGCAGTATTTGGGATGCTCTAATCTGATTCAGATCTCTAATCTGATTCGGCATGCTGAATATGGCAGCCCCAAATAGCTATCGAACTATTTGGCAGCTATCAGGCCCCCCGGAATAGCAGCAGGAAGCAGCAGTAAGGGGATTTAAATTTTAAATACTCACTTAACTCCTTCTCCCTTTTCCTTTTCCTGCTGATTCAGGGCTTTTCCTGCCTCTCCCCTGGCTTCCCTGGGCTAAGAGGGGGAGGGGGAAGAGGGCAGTTTACAGCCAATCACTGCCATGTATTTGCAAATTGCAGATGTATGGTGCAGCTCTTTGCAAGGCTAATGTCGCATGCTGCTGGTCCATCCAGCACAGCACCACCTATCTTACTTGGGAGGGGAAGGGAGAACTTGCAATTCTGCCAACAGCACTGAAAGTTGCAATGCTTTTTGTCCAATCACAGGACAGTGTTCTTTTTTGAAACTGTTCTGTGCAGGGGCAGAGAGCATTTAAGCAGGAGACTGTAGTTGCTGGCCTTGGCTTGAGTTGCTGCTGCTCTGTGGCTGGCCTTCCTGTCTCTTCTCTGCTGTGGACTCTGCTGGATTGAAGATATCAGCTGGAAGGCTTTTTTTAAAGTCTTCCTTTCCATATCCTGTGTTGGGTGGGGGGATTGCTTGGTCTGGGTGGGTGGATTCTGTTGGGTGGGTGTTGGGGGAGATTGGCTTTGCTCAGTTCTTTACTCAACTTTACTTAAAGTTACTGTTTGAAGTGTTTTAAAAGTTTTAAAAGTTTGTTTTACTGTCTTAAAAAGTTGTATTGTTGGGCAATTTATTTCTTTTGGGTTTCTGGGGGGGGGAGATGGTGCTGTGTGGGTTGCTGTTCACTAGTGTGCCTTGTTGTTCACTAGTTATCTTATGGTTTATGTTAGTTGTTGCAGTGTTGTGAAGGTTGGGTTTAGTAAAGTTTTCCTGTTTAAGAGCAGATTTCTTTTGGTTGCTGGTGGGGGGAGCTGGTGAGGTGTGGGCTGTTGTTCACTAGTGTGCCTTGTTGTTCACTAGTTCTGCTTTGTGTTAGTTGTTGCTCTGTTGTTACGAAGGTTGGGTTTAGGAAAGGTTTCCTGTTTAAGAGTAGATTGTTCCTTCTGGTTGCGAGGGAGAGGGACTGGTGGGTGTGGGTTGTTGTTTTGGATTTGATCAGCTAAGGTTTCTTTAGTAGTCTGTGTTAGTCCAGTTGTGGCATTGGGGGGTTTTTTTTGTTTTTTTTTAAAGGGTTTTACTGGGCTTGGTGGATGTTTCTAGTTTTTCAGGTTAGGGTCACTAAATAGGCTGCTCTAGTAATAAGGTTCTGCTCAGAAATTCTTTTATTTTTAAACTCTTTTAAGTAATTGAGCATAGGGCTGCAGTTCATATACTTAACTAGGCTGGAGGTAGGATATTGTTAGAGGTGAGGATTTTCTTAAAAGCAACAGAATAAGTAGCCTAGAACAGACTTAACTGAAAGAAAGCAGTGTCCTGTGCAATTGACTTTCACCGAAGACTCGTGCTTTTAGAGAAATGCATTTCATAGGTTGAACCCTATCTTTCCAGTTCTCAGTAAGAGACACCTGCATTTCCAGTTCAAAACAGGAAATCAGGCTTGTCCCAGTAGATTATAGTCAGGAGAAGTTTAATAAAGACCCCAGGACTTCTAAAAAGGTTTGCTTTCCATCTCAAGGATAGCTTTTTAAAACCGTTAGCCAGGGACAGGAAGAATCCCTGAGTTTTAAACAAAACGAGAGAGGGAGGGAGGGAGGGAGGGAGGGAGAACTGAAGCAAGGATAGGTTAGGGTCTTCTGAAAAGCAAAATAAATTTTGGGTAGGAGGGTTCTTAAAAAGGAGTCAAGGTCTGTTAGGTCCAGATTGCAGTGTGGGTAGTTAGGTGCCTAAACACCCTACCTACAGATTAGACAGAGTTTGGCCCAGAGAGTTCCATAACATGGAAGGGATGCCAGGCATCTCTGAAAGAGATGTTTGAAAGAGAGGGTGGCATGAGGGTGCCTAGGGAGGGGAGAAGCATGCTAGTAAGGTGGTCACTTGCTTCATTGCTGACCTGGTCATGGTAGAAGGATTCCCCTTTTCTTTGTCCAAAAGTGCTGTGTTGTGAAGGATGCTCAGGTATCTAGCACCCAGGTACACTGCCCCTGCTCACACCATGCTGAGCAGGACTGTGGTGCCCTCACATTACAGGCTGCCAGGGACTTTGTGAAGGAGAAATTGTCCTGTGCTGCTGGGAGGACTGTGCACTTTATGTTGGATATCTGGACTCCAAACAGGTGCATGAGGTGTATCTCTCACTGACTGCGCACTGGTGGCAACCCAATGAGATTGTTGGGGGTGGTGGTTGGGAAACGCCTAGTGATAGGAAGGGCCAGAGCCCTCGGGCCAGCTATAGCCAGGCACTGTTGCAAGCTGAACCACCCAGCATGCCACACATGGGGGCAAACATTGGGGCCACCATCAACAGACAGCTAGAGGAGTGGGTAGGCAGGGATGTCCCCATGGGCTTCATGGTGACTAATGGTGGCTCAAACATGAAGGCAGCAACTGAGACATTGGGCCTCAAGTGCATTTACTGTGTGTCCCATCTTCTCCACTTTGTGGTTAAGGATGCCTTGCGCCTGGGTTCTCAAGAGTATTCCAGGTACGTCACTGCAACCTGTGCATACAGGCATCTCATCCAGAAATGCCGGCACATTATGTGTCACTTCTCCTGCAGTACAAAGGACACCTATCTGCTGCATGAGAAGGAGACACTGATGGGCATGCCGGTGTACTGCCTGATTGGTGATGTCAGCACTTACTGGAACGCAACCTATGCCATGCATGCTTGAATACTTGGTGGAGCAAAAGGGAGCCCTGAATGCCCTGATCTCTGAGACTGGGGTTATTTGGGAAGAGAGCCGGCTCACCCAAGACTGGTTGACCGTTTCTCAGACTGTGGAAGTTCTTGGGCCCTTCAAGAGCTACACAGAGATGCTCTCATCTGACACAGCAAGTCTGGCTCTGGACATCCCCATGATCCACATGGCTCGTGGCAGGGGTCATTTTGTAGAAAAAGAGGTGCATGAGCTCATTAGCATAACTTATTAGCATAACTTATTTGCATATGCCACACCCCCTGACATCACCGGAAGTGTGTCAGAAGGCAACACCCACCACCACCCACCACTCAGGCTCCACTAGACTGCTTTGGATTGCTAGCTATTGGGGGGTGAGGGAACGCGCAGATCTGCCCTCACAGAGGAGGGAGAGCTTGTACCTGAAGGCGGGCCGGGGGGGGGCCTCTGCAACTTACCTGGCTGCTTCTTGCTCCTCATGGTCTGACTGAGGGCTGCTGGGAGCAGGGGGTGGGGCTTGTTGCATGTGCCTGCCCCCTGGGCTCCTTACTGCCAGAGCTCTGCTCCTGTACGCTCCCGCAGGAAATGACCCCTGCTGGTGTCCTCATTTCTGGAGCCAGCTGTAGGACATTCAGACTTTGTTCCAGCAGTGCACATGCTGGTGAGAAGGCTGGAAGATGGACTCGAGGCCCACTTTCAGCCTCTCATTCAGCAGAAGGTCCACATGATAACAATCATGTGTGACCCATGCATTAAGGGCAAGATCGCAGAGTGTACCAATGAGCTCAATTGCTGGGGAAACGAGCTCTCCTGGCAGGTTGAGCACATGTTGGCTGAGCAGCGCACATCACTGCAAGCCGAGGAAGTGGGGGCGTCAAAGTAGCTCAGCTGTTGCTCATCCCCAATCTCCCCCATCCCCAAGGCTCCCACCATGATGACTGTTGAGATGGCATTCATCAGACATGTTTGTGCCTGCATCCTCTCTTAGTCTGTACTGGGAAGCTGGGGTAAAACACTCTATCAGACATGTTTGTGCCTGCATCCTCTCTTAGTCTGTACTGGGAAGCTGGGGTAAAACGCTCTTTCCAAAATTAAAACTAGAGTCCAGAGAGCCATGGTCCATTAATCCATTTGATTGGCGCAGAAACGCCCCACCAATCCCCCCACTGGCATTCTCAATCAAACCACCCGCCCCAGAACACCTCCACAGAACCCTAGTTGCTGTGCAGAACTGGGCAATGTAGGTGTATTCAGGTTAACTCACCAGCCATCCCCAAACCAAAACTAAATGCTGACTAAAACAGCAGCAAATAATCTTCCTCATCTCAATGGAGATGAAAGGGGTAGGGTAGGATCCCAAACAGAAACCAGCAGAACCCACAGGAGCACCATGAAGAATAACTGAGGCTTTTTCTTTGTGGGGTAGGAGGTGGGAGAGGGAGGGACCATGATGAAGGGCAGTTGCACCTAGGCTATGGTTCCTCAGATGGGACAATAACAGCTGGTATGTTGCTATGAGAGAGGAGAATTGGGGCGGACAAACATGACCCCTCCCTCTCACTTTCTAAGGCCCTCCATGAAGAAACAAATGGTTTATGGAACAAGCAAAGCATCACTGGCCTTCTCTGTATTCGTCCGGGCTAGTTTTGGGAGAGTAAGCAAAGGTGCCTGCAACCCAGCATGTTATTTTTCAGTGTTCTGCTGGGGTTACTGTACTGCACTCTTGACTAATTTGTTCCCAAAACCCCCTGCAGGTATGTAACCAGGTTGATGCAATGGGTAAGGGTATGCTTGCAGACTGACTGGGCAGACCCACTAAATACCACTATCTGAGTTTTTTTGATTGGGGTGTGACTATCTCGCCTCCTTGTGGCACACCCTGGGTAACACCAAAGAGCTAGACCATCTAGCAGCCAGACAATCAAGGGGTCAGAAAAACCTGCAGCCAGTTTTTTTTGGGGGGGCACTAAAGATATATAACCACATTTTCTGCATTTCACCACCCTAAAAATCCTCATATTCTTTGAGAGAAGAAATTATGACTAGAATATTATAAAATTGGGACTTCTGTCCCTTCCATTGCCAAAAAGATACCATTAATCAGAATAGTCTTTACCAAAAAGTCTGACAATATTGCTTGATATGTGAATGATAGGCCTTTGTCACTGAAAAGCTGAGCTCTCAGTCCTGCTTTAACCTCACCTTGAAAGACTGGACAAAGGTCCAGAGCAAAATCCGGATGGTGTAGCCCTGGCGAAGAAGTTTGATGAGTCTTGCAGCCCGGAAAAGTCGAAGGAAGCTGAGGTTGATGAAATTGTCCTGGGGAGAGGAAAAGTTTTGTGTCCTTCAGATAAGGACAGGAAGGGAAGCCGCAGCCCACAAAAATGAAAATAAAATTACCAGCTTCGCGTTCTAAGCAGCAAATCGGCCACCAGAAAACCTTCCAAAAGAAACATTTGTCAGTGCAGGTCACTCCACATGCAAGCACGCATGAGAAAACCCCTCTCCATAAGAGTCCCTCCCTTGACTACGGAGAAGTAGCAAAAAGGGATATGAAGAGAGAGAGACCTTAAATGACTTTCTGTTTTTCTGCTTGCTTGATGGGGCAGGAGTACAATCCATAAAATTCACTGAGACTCAAGAACGATGAAAACAAACATATAAGCCAAAAACAGAGAGATCATCCACCGGCCTGGTCCATGGCAAAGGAAGGGATTGTGCAGCAGTCTTTAAATACCTTCCTTAGTTTGTGAAGGTTAAAAACTGAGGCCTGGATGGAGATTAAGGGTATAACTCCACTCCAATTTATGGAAAGACTCCACGATGATTAGGCAACAGGTGGCAGGCCAACCTGAACACCCAAAAAGTCTGTTTGTAGAAGGTGGAAAGCGTTCCCCACTAGAGACCGCCTTGGAAGCAGAATGGCATTTAATAGCTCATTTGATCTGACCCTTTTAAAACTGCTTCAAAGCAACACTAGAGTAGAGCTGTAATTTCCCCCCCCTCCCCTCTTTGTATGTGCTTGTTCAATCCTGCCGTCTATTTTCCATGATCAAAACAGATTATGCAGTGATACAACCCAACAAAAGTGTGTTTGAGAGAGGTCCCCTTTCTATCAATCAAATAACACGCATGCCTCGGTTTGTTCTGAACCCAATTACACTGAGTAGGAAATGTTAGCAACTTAATTTCCGTCTTTCCCCTTGATTTAAAATCCCACTACATATGTGGATTTCCTCTACAGCTGAAGGGGGCTGGGTGGGTAACACAATTATATATAGAGAGACCTTGTAGCCAAAGCTAACCAGATCCAGGTTTGTTTCCCCCCCCCCCCCCAGCCGCTGCCATGTTAATCTTTTACTACTGAATGCCTGCTAAAACAAAAGCTGCCCCACAGCCCTTGCTATTTTGGGTGCACGAGGCTCATGGCTCTGTCCAGCTACTACTTCAAATGCTAGCTAGCTGATAGTCGTGCCAATAGCGCTACATTCCACCAATACCATTAAAAAGTTCGAGAAAATCAGCCGTTGGGCATGCATTTGACTGGCATTTGTTTTTAAAAGACACAAGCAGCTCAGAGTTAGGTGTACACATCTTACTTCAGACTCAGTCCTCAAATAAAGAGAAAAGAGAAAAGCGCAAAGACCACAAAATGAGTAGACGGCACCAAGCATGCAGAGAGCAAGCAAAAAAAGCAAGAGACTGTCCTCCTGGGCTGATCAGGGCTGGCAAAACTGGGAGCCAAGAATTCAGAGCTTCAATAGTTTAGCATTTATTTATTCACAATTTAACCAGCCTGTCCCTCCTGACAGAGGCTGAAGTCAGCAGACAGCATCAAACAACAATAAAAATTGTTGAGCCTTCGGGGAGGGCGGGATAGAAATTTAAATAAATAAATAAAATAATAATAAATAAAAATGATCATTTTAGTAAAATTATCACAATGGCATTGTTTTAAAAACATTTTAAAACGGTTCCAGTCCGCATTTCAAGACAACTATTAGGAGAGGAGTGGAATGTATATATAATGTGTATTTGGGACTGGATTCCATTTTCAGTTATGCCCACCCTCAGTTTTTATTTCTAGTTTCATATTTTTAAATTGTCATTATAGAAAGAACTGATGATGGATTGCTATTACATTTGCAGAGCTGAAGCAAACAGTTTGAGCAGCTGTAAAATTTTCAAATAAAAGCATTTTCTAACCCAAGATAACATTAAAATACATCAAAAACACTCCCCAAATGTTTTATTTGGATGCTCCTTGCAGGTCCTTTTGCTGAAATAATAGCATCTAAAACTGAATTACAGGGAGTTCTCTCTGTGCCTACTCAACTACCAAGCCTGACTTATAAGAAGTCACCTAATAGTAAAGTCAGACCACTGGTACCTCCAGTTTAGCGCTGTCTGTTCTGACTGACATGAACTCTCCAGTATCTCCAGCCAAGAAAGTTATTTCCTGCTATTTGAGTTCCTTTTAACTGGAGATGTGGAGAATGGGAACTGGAATATTATGCATGCGAAACACCTCCTGTATGACTGAGCTATCAGCCTGTACCTAAAGCCTAAGCTGAACCCGATTTCAAAGGCAATGTTCATATGAGCCTGCTTTACCAGTCCATTTAACCCACTACTGTTTACAACTGATTGGTAGCAGGTCTCCAAGTGAGCAATCTTTCCCAAGAATTGATACCCAAGATGCTTTAATAGAAGATGCTTGGCCCTGGACCTGGGACTTTTGGCATGCAAAGCGCACGCTTCTATGGAACCTCAGCCACCCTGTTTTTCACTGCAGCATATAAACCAAGCCTAAGTAAACATCTGAGTCTAGGAAGAGGAAAGGTAAGGCAAGTGAGCGCAGAGAAACAAAACCTATCCCCGCAGCACATTACACTGTTGCGGGTTAATTTAAGAATCTGCATTATATTTGGAATCCATTAGGGTTTAGTTGCTTTGAACACTTGAACCTCAACCATTCCTTTTCCAAATCTTCAGCTCCCTTTCACAAATTGCTAGTAACAGCCTCACCAATAAGTGGGCAATACTGGGGATGGGGGTGGGAATCAGAGTTCCTCAATATTTAACAAAGCTCTCTAGAGACTGGCCTCAGCACTAGTTGCAGGAGGAGTCAATAACACAAGTAACATGAAGAGCCCCATGCACATGCAGCCTTCTTCCTTCCATAACTGATTTTGCCCAAGCAGTTGGTGTCATGCCTTGAGGGTAGTAACTACACATATCTGTCTTCTGTGTGTGCAACAATATGTACAGTGATGTCTGAGATCAGGACCTTTTTTTTTAAACTACAAAATAATTTACAATTTTTCTGACTGCCATTACATTTATTTATTCCTTTTGTTTTGTTGCTTGTTTGCAGGGAGTGGTTGGCTGAACCATTGCAGAAGTTCACGCTGAGGAATCAAGCAGCACTATTCTAAATTAAAGTGCCGGAAGAGAGTTTGTCTTTTTCCCACATGCCATTTTCTTGATACAGATAGCATCCCTGGAGCTACAATTTGCTCTCTGGGAGAAAATGCCCCATCCCAAATCTCTCATATAGTGGAAGTTAGTATTTGTCTATGTAATCCGCTGTTGTCCATGTAGTTTGGCAGCAGTTCCCATGATCTCAGGTAGATCTGATACCCGAGATCCATCAACTGGAGTTGCTGGATACTGAATGTGGGACCTTCTGGTCACAAAGGAATTACTGTGCCAGTGAGTCACTCATCCCAAACCAGAAACCTTTACTTAAAGAAGGAATGGGTAATTACACATATGTAATGCGTAATTATACTCCATGATAAATCTCCATGCCTTTGGAGGGGGGCACTGAATCACCTAGCAGCATTTTCTTACAATTTCATATAATTTGTCTGGCCAATGTATCAACAAGTGAAGGTATTTCTGACTGGCTAGAATCCTGGCCCCAATTCACTTGGTATGTTGACTTGGTATAATGGAGCCCAACGTGAGCCTGCTATGCAGGGAGGGCGGGATATAAGTAAAAATAAATAATTAAAAATACCTCCCACAGCAGCTTTTTACTGCTAAATTAATGTCAAAGAATCTGATCACAGATCTTCAATGTCACATTTACTTGGGTTCGATAGTTATGTCGTAATTTGCCTTATCTCTGTTCCTATCGACATACTGTATTCTATACTGTGTCTATCATTGTTAAATTTGTTTTTAGCATATTATTAAATTTATTTATTTATTTACAAATGCATTGAGTTTCCCTTTGATCGGTTATGGAAAGACAAAGAATGAAGAAAGGGATATTGGTAATGGCAGGTTTTCATCCAACTACAATTAGTCTACAGAAAGAAAATGCCACAAGCAAATCTGGTCATAAACCACATTGCAAACACAGACAAAGAAGCATTTTTCACCGATGCACTCCGAAATCTCAAACACAGTTAAATAGAAGTGAAGCAAAACAAAACCAAGATAAAAATAAAGAAGCAGGAGATTGTTGTTAAAAATTCAATGAAACCAACCGTGTCCTATATGTGATGTTTTCATGGATGAATATTTGCAAGATTATTTACAAGTTTTTGTGTTTAGATTAGTATTTGTTTTGAGCAGCAGGCGCACAACATACAGACGGAGACATGGGTTTTCGCATTGCGTGTTGAGTGGATGGCGTGATTCGGCAGGAAGGTAAGGCAAAGAATAGGGAAAACAACAACAAAAGAAAGAAAAAAGAGAAAATGAGTCATCAGGACAAGCAAAGGACAGAAGCACCAAAAGTCGTACTGGAAAAAATCAGGTGGTTTTGAAAAATTGTTTTTCTAAAGAAAATGATCAGATCCTGGAAATTAAACACACTGCATCCAACTATTTGCATTTCATATGGTAATGCAAATTATGAGACACTTCACAAACAGCTTCTTGTCATTTTTTTTTTATTCCCAGGCAAAGTTAGAGATGCCAGTTTCCAAAGTTGTATTCAGGTTTTGAGAATTCCCACCTCCATTCCCTCTGCTGAAGACCAAGCAATATGATTGGCTTTGGCCCTATTTGCAGCCACCTAGGTGGTGTGTGAGTCAACAGGATGGCCAGTCAACCCAGCACTGGACACAGGATGGGACAGCATCCAATGGAGACAACCCAGGTGGAAGGAGTGTGCTGGGTATATCCAATGTTGTGGCTTTCTGGGTCTTCAGCTTGTGCTGCGAAGCGAGCAAGAACAAAAAGAGGGCTGCCAACTAAGTAAAGATTGCTTTGAGCAGATACCTAGTCAACCTTTTCACTGATTATTTGGTTAACTACTTATAAGCAGATTATCAAAATCCTTAATGACGTTTTGAGAATAATGAAAAATGTGTGAGAGAACTGATACCTTTATGAACCAAAGCTACTTCCCCCAGCCTTTACCCTTCTCACGTGTGAGCAAGAATGGTCTCACACACCCTTAGGGAGCTGGCCAACCTGTCTTGAAGCACCCCATGTTCATGCTAATGGATTGCCTGTGGTTTCTAGCAGTGGGCTCAACACCAACACTCACAGAAGCATTTGAGGTATGCACCAGGGGTTGAAGGCACAGAGCCCTAAGGCCCAGACAGTAGTGACACTGCTGTGGAGGGGGCAACTGGAGGGGGGATGCAAGCTGACCCAGTGGGTGCACACATGTATATGAAACTGCATGGTACTGAGTCAGACAACAGGGTCCATCTAGCTCAGTATCATCTACTCTGGTTGCAGCTCATCATGGTCTCAGGCAGCAGTGCATCCTTGTACCTGTGTTCCTTTTAACTGGAGATTTCCATCTAGGACCTTCTTCACATCAGGCAAGTGTTGTGCCACTAAGTCATGGCCTCTCCCTAAAAAAAGCTCTTATACGAGATCACCTTATGCACAGTTAAACTATTGGTCAAGTAAGCTCAGTACTGTCTACAATGCTGGTGGCGGCTCTTCAGTAGCATAGGCACAGAAAGGCTTTTCCCAACACCTGCAACTATCTTTTTGCTATACATGTCACGTATTGAACTTGGAACATGCACAGAATCATGGGCTCTACCACTGAGCCATGGTGCTCTTCCACTCTTCCACTTTCAGCTTCAGCCCCTCTGACCCAAATGCACCTCTCTCAATTAAAAATTGTTTCCACCACACAAAAAATGCGAACACACGAATGTGCTTTATGCTGAATCAGACCCTTGATCCATCAAGGTCAGCACTGTCTTCTCAGACAGGCAGTGGTTTCTGGAGGAGGCCTAGTACCTGATCCTTTTAAATGGAGATGCCCGGAATTGGACTTGGGACCTCCTGCATGTCAAGCAGATGCTCTACCATTGAGCCACTGCCCCTCCCCATTGACTCTTGAAAGACTTACGATGGCATTCACACCTAATCTCTTTTTCACCTCTCCTACTCACTCTTGTAATGTTCTCCTTAAGTAGAATTTCAGGCTTGATTTCCCTCCACATTTCTGAGGAAGTGGGCTGTGATTCAAGAAAGCTCATATTGAAATAAATGTTAGTATTTAAAGGTGCCACTGGACTTTTGTTTTGTCTCACTAATTAAACAGCTAAAAATGCCAACTCCAAAAACAAAAGTGGAGGAAAACTGACATCTGCCTTTTTGCCTATAGAAATAAAAAAATTAAGTATCCAAAGCATTCACAAAGATTACAGATACGACACAACTAGGACATCGAAAAGAAAGCAAATTATCAGCACATATTATTTTTCTTTTATCTTTACTCCTTTGCAGTATGCTGGTTGTTGAGAAACTGACAAAATACATGGCGTACAGCCAGGTGAGCTGGTTTCTTTGGCTCAAGAAAAGTTCTTGCTTGGAAAGTGGAGGAAGAGCCAATGCCAGCCCAGATTCTGGAATACCTGCACCGTAAGATTAGCCCGCTCCACTTGCTAGTATTGACCTGTATGGACAGCAGACAGCACTGTGCTACAATCTAAGTACAGAAATGATTCATGTGGTCTGATTCACCCATGTTCAGAAGGCTAGGAAAGGGACTAGGAAGAGGTCCAGGTTTGGACACGTTCTGCTTTTCTCTTGCTTTATTCTAAAAGGCCAACGGCACATCAATATAAAATAATGCACTCTAATCACAGATGGTGAATGAACCAATTAAGAGGCCTGCCTCAAGCAGGTGTCTGACAAGGCAGTATATAAATTCCCTAAATAAATACATATTAACAATATCATCATTTTTGTCTAGGAGCACCTTGTTTATAGGATTCATGAAGCCACCATTCCATAGTAACGTGCCAGTAAACAATGATTCCTTGACAAGGGATGGACAACCCTAGAGAGCAGCAAAGTGAAGAATATGTCACGCTTCCCAAACTGGCCAAAGGACCACCACCAAAACATGGCCAATATTCTTTCTTTCAGTGGGGCATCTGGGAAGGCTGGAGACAGCTTGAGAGAATTCTCAATTTGTGCATCCCTTTTCTCCATTGATGGAGCTGCGGTGGCTCAAGTGGTTAAGACACTGAACTGCAGTCTGTGGAAGGTCAGTAGTTCAGCAGTTCGAGACCCGGGTGCTGCAAGACGGAGTGAGCTCCCATCTCTAAGTCCAGCTCCTGCCAACCTAGCAGTTCGAAAGCAAGAAATTGCAAGTAGATAAATAGGTACCACTTCGGTGGGAAGGTAACAGTGTTCCGTGCGCCTTGGTGTTTAGGCATGCCGGCCACATGACCACGGAAACGTCTTCAGACAGCGCTGGCTCTTCGGCTTTGAAACGGAGAAGAGCACCGCAACCCTAGAGTCGGATTCGACTGGCTTTCGAGCAAGGGAACCTTTACCTTTACCTTTTTTTCTCCATTAAGAGGGCCTGACTAGAGTATTGACTCCAATGCTGGAACTAATATTCATACCAGAAGTGAGCCAAGCTCCTTTTTCTGTTTTCATAGATTGCTCAGTAGTCTTCTGGCTTCTGATGCTGCCTACCATTTGCAGGAAACATGAGAAGCAAAAGAAACTGATAGAGAACAAAAAATGTATGGCCATAGACAAGAGAGAGAGAGAGAGAGAGGTCAGGGAAGAGGAAAAAAGGGATGGTTCACCACTCCCCACAGAAGAAACCCATTAGGTCAAAAGCTGAAGAATACATCCATCACCTCCAAGGAAGAAGATACAACTTTGTTAACACAACATGTTGGAAAGGAGTTTACAAAAGGGTTGGTTGCCAAAGGGTAACCAGAAGATTATATATCACAGCTCTGGCACTATCAGGCATTAATTATGCCAATTATGCCAAGTTATGCCAAGTTGTACATGCATGCTTCTTTTGCATAATCTACTCTTGTCCTGAAGCTAAGGAGGAGTGGGAAACGGCTTTGCAGGACACTGAAACCCTGCCTCCTAAGTGTGGGAAACCCTACTCAGATTCTCTCCAGTTTCCGAGATATTATATTGTCCAAGTTTTGTTTTACAAGGCAAGAAACTTGCTTTTTTATTTTTTTCAAAAAGGAAAAGATGAGATTCTACAGATACTGAACTGAGCACTCAATATCAAATGTCAAATGTAGCTTGCATTTGAATGGAATTGGAAAATATACACAGCCCTGCCCATACCTCAGTCATCCTTGCCATTTGCTTGGAAGACTCTAAAGGCCAAAGCAGATAAAACATAAGACAATGCCTTAATTATGGTTAAGGAAATAGAAGCAATCATGTGTATGGATGTGTAGGGTTTTTTTGTTTGGGTCTATTGGACCCCCCAAAATTTGGAATTTCTAAAAATTCCTGGATCCCAATACTGGGAAAGTATTTGGATATGGGATTTTTCGGAAATCCCAAATTTTTTCTCGGCCAATGGGAAAAAAAGAACAACCCAGGAGCACCAAAGCCGTAAAACACAGCTCAGCAGCAGCTCCCACCCCTCAGCTGTTTCCCTGATCTTTTCTGCAGTCCCTTTCAACTATCCTGGTTTAAATGGACTGCAGAAAGAAAGGGGGGATAGCTGATAGGCGGGAGCAGTTTCCCAGCCTCTCAGCTGTTTCCCTGGTCTTTTCTGGAGTCCCTTTAAATAGAAGCGGGGGGAACAGCCTCAATCTTCCAGGTTCTCAAAAATATTCAGGATTTTTTTGGGATGGGGGGAGGTTTCCTGAAAAGTCCGAGATACTTTTGGGATGCCAAAATATACCCCAAAAATACTGATAAAGTATTTCACAGGTATATTTTCAGCTCAGGAAGATCCCAATGTACACCCCTAGTCACATGCTCCTTCCCCACCCCATTTATTATGGTTCAGCATTATAACTGATCAACATTAACTGCATCACTTGGGGGTTACTCTCAGAGCTGGATTTATAAACCAGTTTAGTAAACGATATTTTAGGGCCTCAGATTATGAGGTCCTCTAAATTTAAAAAGTAGATTTTACTAATATAAAATTTTTGGTAATACTATGAGGCCTCTTAAATGTGATATACCCCAAGGACTTCAGTATGTTTCAAGCTGGCCTGGGTAAAACAAATCTAGTTTTTGGATTTAACATCTAAGCATGATCCTATGAACTGTTCCTGCTCCCTTTTGATTTCTTCTCAGGCTGCTGGTCAGCAGCTTTTAATGAACAATTAGGAAGCACTTTCCAATGTTTACCCTAAATCTCCACCACTGTGGTTGAAAAACCACATATCTTTGTCAGACCACTAGTTTCATAACATAATTTTCATAAAATTTCTCCTGGTCCTTGACAGATGCACAAGATAATTCCCAAATAGACTGCAGGGAAGTCAAGTCAATGTGACCTTTTTGGCAACATTTTGCCAGCTAACAAAGCAATTTTGTATGATCTCTACTCACCGCAATCTCTGTTACTAAAATATCAGTAATACTTCCCAAGACAGTGACAAAATCAAAAATGTTCCAGGCATCACGGAAGTAATTCTGAAAGATAAAAGAAACCAGAATAACTCAAAGAGACTTGACCACGTTAAGTTATTCCCCTGGATGTTATGGAAAGGAGGATGAGTTTTGAAACACACATAAGCGCAGGGCTATTTTCCGTGTGCCTTGGTGTTTAGTCATGCCGGCCACATGACCACGGAAACGTCTTCGGTCAGCGCTGGCTCTTCGGCTTTGAAACAGAGATGAGCACCGCAACCCTAGAGTCGGATTCGACTGGCTTTCGAGCAAGGGAACCTTTACCTTTACCTTATTTTTGGGCAGGAACGCACAGGAACGGAGTTCCGGCTGGCTCCCGAGGTGGCCATGCCCAGCAGGAACTCATTAGCATAACAGGCCACACCCAACAGCAGAAACTCATTAGGATTGGCTACATTAGGGGTGTGTGGCCTAACATGCAAAGGGTTCCTGCTACAAAAAAAGCCCTGGGTCTTGACAACAAACAAGGTAAACAGAATAAGAAGCAAAAGGTGGGTGTGGCTGGATGACCACACTTCTGGTAACATGGGGCTGTGGCCTAATATGCTAATGAGCTGTGCTGTCAGGATGGGGCCTAATATGCTAATGAATTTCTGCCGTTGGGTGTGGTCTATTATGCTAATGAGTTCCTGCTGGGCTTTTTCTACAAAACAAGCCCTGCATAAGCGCACACCATGTTCAATGTAATTGAAAAGGGGGAGGGGAGAGTCCTTACCAGTGCACCAAAGGCAATGATCTTCAGCACACACTCCAATGAGAACATGGAGGTAAACACAATGTTGAGGCATTTCAGCATGTCTTCATATGGAGCTGGAGCGTCATAGAACTAAATTGAGGGAAAGAAAAACAAATTACTGAAAGGTTTAGCAACTGTTGTTCACATAGTAATGTTTTTTTATTAAAATGTTTCGCATGCATTACTGGAGTCACCCTCTCATCTCTTACCACACTGGATCTCTTGATACAAGCTATACCCTCATCAGAAGATGTGAAGAGCCCTGGACTTCCGGTATGGCACAACGACGAGAGGGAGCGTGGGCTTGAGCTCCGCTCCTCCCGAGCACTTTCATTCTTTTTCGGGGGCCCCAGGGATGGGGGACCACGACCCACAGCCTCCGGACGAGATTGCGGGAGCATGGGGCTTCTTGCTGGACTCCCCCCGAACCCGGCAAACGGTGGGGTGCTCCAGAATTGCCCTGAAGCAGAAACGGGAGAAGGGAATGGGAGAAGGCGAAGAACATGGCCACCGTGTTCTTCTGAGTCGCTGCCTCCGGGACTGTTTTTAACTTTTTGGTGTGTGTAGAGAAGATACGTCGCATTGTTAAGCTGTTCTGCCCGTATAAGAAACACCCCTGGAAGGATATCACATACTTATGAAAAAACCGGCCGTAAGGATTTGATGTGTGGAACTGTGAGTAACGAGATATGCAGGGGGAGGCGTTTTCGAACACCAATAGGAAAAAAAATAATAAAGTCTACAAATAAACTTGTCTGTGAGGCTGAGAGGAAAGTGGAAAGGAGGTTATGGATAAGGATGACACTATGGAAAGAGAAACAGAAAAAACAGCTGAAGAATTTTCTTGGAATGATCTTAAGAATTGGTTCACAGAGGAAGTGAAGCGGACATTTACAGAGACATGTCTGAATGTTCTGAGAGACGCTGTAAAAGGAATGTTGGAAGTGAAAGGAAATAAGGAGGAATGGCAAGAAACGAGAAAGCAAGAGGAAGGGTTAGAAAAAGAGAAGGAGAAGAAATTGCAGACTTCCCAGAGTTATTTTGTGGAGGAAGAAAGGCAGGAAGCTGACCCCGATAGGGTCGCTCCAAGGAATCAAAGACTACTTAAGCCACGAGCAAAGAAAAAGGGACTGTTATCAGATTTGATAAAGGACAAAAAGAAGAAGGTCAACAGGGATAAGAAAGTAAAGAGAGAAAGAAAATGTTAAAAAATGAGTGCAAAGTCAGAAGGTGTACTTTAGATTTATTTTCGTTTTTCTTTATAAGTTAGGTGGAGGGGGAAATTGTGTATGATACCAAAAGTATTATTTTATGTTAAGTGGTTTGGTTTAGTGAGCTTGTTATTATGTTATATGAATGACTAGCTATGTTTACAAGTAGAATAAGGGTGGTAAGGTAAGGAGAGAGAGTAAATTGGGAGCTAGTTCTGGTAATTGAAGTTAATTTTGCTATTTTATTATATAAAGTAATTGATTGTAGGTATTATAATTGTAGGTATTATAAGTTGTATGTTTAATTGGTCAAGATTAATTTGTGTCCTATATGGCTGTTTATTTCTGAGACTGGAGTACTAGGGAGTAACCATGAAATCATGAAATGACTATGAATTAAGTGAGGAGTAGTTTGGAAAGTGGCTGTGTGTAGGCTGTGTGTAGGCCTCTTTAAAGATAAGGTCTTCTGCTGAAATATCGCAAATGGAATATAAAAGAATTCTATGATTAACAAGATTAATATTATAACTACTATGTTATATAAATTAATTAAAAATAGAATGGAAAAATAGGAGATGATGAATTAATGAGGTACTTGGAGTAATTGCAGAAAACTAGAAATGTAGGATTAGAATAACTGGTGATGATTTTGTATGATTTTTTGAGCATTAGAACAGGGAGAGTAACAATATATCTATATATAAGCAATCTTTCTGAACGATGTGATGTGTTGAGAAAATAATGGATGGGAAAATTTATGTATGTTATGTATGTTATGTCTGTTGGTGTCTTAAATGTGTGTCTGTTTTCTAAGTACAAAAAACCCAATAAAAATATATATTTTAAAAGAAAAGATGTGAAGAGCCCTGATGACTTCTACTGTGCTATTAGAATAGCAGGAAGGAATGACTTCTAAAATCACTGAGATTTATTAAGAACTTTTTATTTATAAGAACTGTCTGATCCAGGTCAAAACTCAGACTAGTGCAAACAACAAAACACTTAACTAATCTGGGCCCAGCCTACTCCTGAGATGACTGAAGCAGCACTGCATGCTGCCTGAAAGCAGTGTCTATACTGCTAACATGCAGTGATGCAAAAACTGCCTGACATTGTGTCAGCAAGCTGCCATGGTGTTCTGTGTAACTTCTGATTGTACATATATGATCCCTGTCCCTGCCAGCTGGCCTATGTGTTTTCCCTGCTGTAATGCCAAAGTAAAACAACTGGAGGATGTGAGGGGGAGAGTATGCTTCGCTGCTAGCTTCTTACTTATCAAGCCTGTGAACTGCACCTGTGTTATGTCTACTGTTCGCCTGGTTCCCAGGACCTGAGCAAGCGACCGTTTTCTCCCGCCCGCCAGCGGGAACGTTATCCATTGGTTGTGTATCTAACTTGAATCCCTTTATCATGTCTGCCCTAACTGCTTGTAGTCAGTTCTAACAAAGAACGTGTTTGAGTATCTTTCCAATGCTTTGAAATAAACTTTACTTTCTTTGAAACGTGGATTTATTCTCGATGCTTGGGGATCCAACATATTGTTAGAACTCCTTTTCTCCTATCGTCCCGATTCTGGCGAGACCATGAGCGGGTCTGAGGGAAACCTACCTACCACGGAGGGGGACACAGGATCGGTCCCCACTACCTCCGCACCTTTGATTGTTACAACTACCGCACCAGGGGAAGGTGCTGTGGGGGGAGCGATTCCCCGACTGCCTGCCTACCTGTCTTGGCCGCCTCCAACCCCTTCGAATTGGGGTGCGCGGAAGACACCGGCACAGGATGACTGGGCTTTGTACAACACCCAAGGCACCAGGGAGGTGTACTCCCGTCGAGGCAGTGGGCTTCGAGAAAGTCTTTTTGACAAGGGAATGTTTCCCGACTCCGGGAGTTCGGGGGAGACTGGGAGTTATCGGAGAGACGTGGAAGACTGGATGTTTGAGCCGGTGGGGGACGGGGCCCGTGCAAGATCCTCGGAGGGAGCTGCAGACTTCCAGACGGAGGGAGACTATGGGCCGCCTCCTGAATACCAACCCCGGGAGCCGATCCCGGAGGAGTCGACCAGGGAACGGCTGGAGGAGCTGGAACAGTCGGTGAGGGATCTGATGCGCACGGTCCACGATGTGATGGAAGCGTTGCCGGGGATGATGGACATTCGAATGACTAATTTCCTAGCAGATTATGCCCCGCAACCACAAGTTCCGCCTGCACAGGGACCACCCGCGCCACCTCTGCATGCTCCGCCGCCGGTACTACCACCTCCACAAGCGCCACCTGCTCCGGGAGTGCCTGCACTGCTGCCACCGCCGGGGGGTCCGCAAGGGCCTCCGGGACCTGGTCTACCGCCGCCGCTGGTGCCACTGCGGGTTCCACCAGCGGTCCCGGGCCCTCCTCTCATGGGGGGTCAGGTACCGCTGGGTCCTGCGATGAGAACTCCGCGACCTCGACCTAAAGATCTCCTGGAAGCTACGTTTGACGGCAACCCGGATGACCTCGCTTATTTCACGGTGCGAGTTCAAAAGTTCGTTGCGGAGAGCCGGCACTTATTCCGTGATGAGGGAGCCATAATCGATGTCATCTCAGCAAGGCTGAAAGGAGACGCCGCCACATGGTATGTTGGGCTGCACAATGACCGCGGTCCGGAACTTTTCAATTTACGCGCATTCATGTGGGCGCTCAGGGCTAGATTTGAGGATGTCAACGCGAGCCAAAGAGCAAGAGCGTTCCTGCGTACCTACCGGCAGAACCGGAATTCAGTTCGAGAATACACGCGTGAATTCCACAAACAAGCCGCGAAGCTGCGAGATTGCCCAGATCACATTTTAGCGGAGATGTACCGACTGGGACTAAATGCTGAAATACGAGAGACTGTTTTACGGTCGGTCAACCCTATCTCCCTAATGGCTTGGGTACAGGAAGCTGAAAACGCTGAAGACCGTCTCAACATGATCAAACTCGACCTGGCTGCGACTGGAGGCCGACCCTCTACGTCCACTATGCCAAAGCAGCGGCCTCAACGCCTGTCAGAATCAGCGAGGGACCTCCGCATGAAGATGGGGCTCTGTCTAAAGTGCGGTGAGAAAGGACACTTTGCCATGGATTGTGGAAACCACCCATTTTCCAAGGCTCTGCAAGCTGCCCAAGATCCGGAAGAACCCGAGCTGGTTACGGCGGAATCCGAGGAGGAATTGGTGGGAGAACCGGCGGAAAACGACAACGGCCTGTTGTGAG